AGCTTCTTCCACTGTGAGAGCGGAGGCAAGTTCTACAAGGTGAGGGGTCCCATTCCCTACAACACCCTGCTTCCCCAGAGCCCCAGTCCAAAGCAGCCTGCACTCCCCCGGCAGGACCCCCCTTCCTGATTCCTCACGCCAGAGGAGCCCAGCCACTGTCCAATGGTCTTACTCTTCCTGCAGGAGCTTCCGCTGTCTGAGATCCTCCAGATCCGCCCCTGGAAGGGGCTGACACCCCTGGCATCCAGCGGGAGCCCCCCCTGCTTTGAGCTGGTGACGGAGGCCCTAGTGTACTACGTGGGCGAGCACAGCAGTGAGCGGGAGCCAGGGCAGGTCTGGGCAAGGGCGGAGGCTGGAAAGGCCTGGGCCAGGGCCATCCGCCAGGCCCTATGGCCCGTGAACCCTGAGCCTGACGGCTCTGTCCAGGAGCCCAGTGAGTACCATAGGGAACCCTCTACAGGCAGCCATGAGCCCCACCCCAGAGCTAGCTGCATCTCAGAGCTGGGTGAGAGATCATCCCTAATTCAACAGCCCCCAGGCTGCACTGCAGAGCCAGCCAGACCTCAGTGTTGAGCAAGGAATCCCTGTGTTAACAGCCCCTGGGCCACACCCCAGTGCCAGCTGCATCTAAGTGCTGGGCAAGAAATCCCTGTATCAACAGCCCCTGTGCCATATCCCAGAGACAGTTGCATCTCAGTACCAGGTCAAGGATCCCTGTATAAACATCCCCAGTGGACATCTGAGAGGTGGCTGGCTCCTGCTCCCAGGAGAACAGGGTAGTGGGTCTGGATGTCCCAGTCAGGCCAGGTTCTTCTTATGTCTCCATTGTCTTGTCTCTGCAGATTCTGACTATGAGTCCCCAGATGACACGGTGAGTTGGAGAGGATGGCACTGGGGAACCCTAGAAGTGGTGGGGTGCTTGGTCTGGCACAGGGAAGGGGATGAACAAACATGGGGGCTGGTGTTGGGGTGAGGAAGCCAGGCATAGGGGATGGTGGCAGGGGTGGCAGTAGCAGGAGCATTAGGCCTGGCTTGTCAGGGTACCATGCTTCAATCCCCCCAACCCTGTCCTTGTCCCTCACCCCAGGACATCAGCCGTTCCTATCAGATCTTCCCTGACGAGGTGCTGGGCGCTGGGCAGTTCGGGGTGGTGTACGGCGGTAGGTGCCCTCCCCCGCCCCAGCTTTCATCCTGGCTCCCCCCTCCTGTGTTCCCCAATAATTCCCCTCCCTCTGTGCTGATCCTCCTACCTCCCCAATAATTCCCCTCCCTCTGTGCTGATCCCTCTACCTCCTCCTTGGGCACAGTCTGGGATCTCAGCTTGCATGTGCGCCCCTCAGGGGCAAACGTGTTCACTACAGCTCCCCAAGTGCCATAGCCATGCCCATCCCATCACTGCCATGCTTCCAGGAGCATGGTTTGCCCACTGCTCACCCATGGTGTTCTAGTGCACATCTCCCCCCAGCCCTGCCCCACACCCCTCCTGTCCCAGCTCTGCCTCCCCCTCTGCCCCCCAGCCCTGATACCCCTGCCCTGATACCCCCCCCCCAGGAAAGCACAGGAAATCTGGCCGGGACGTGGCCGTGAAAGTCATCGACAAGCTGCGCTTCCCTCCCCGGCAGGAAAATCAGTTCCGCAATGAGGTCTCCATCCTGCAGGTGAGCCACTGGGGGTGAAAAACACAAAGACCCTGGTGGGAAGGGAGGGGATGTGTGGAAAAGGGGACCCTTGGGTGTACAGAACATGGGGACCCCCTCTGGGAGGGGCCACCACTGATAGGCCCAGAGATCTCCTCCCTGGACATGTTTGGCTGCCTCTGCCCATCAGCCCCAGTGGGGGAAAGGGGACAACAGCTGGACAGGCAGCACTCCCTCCCCCAATGCACTGGGGGCTTTGTTGGGGCCCTGTCCCCTGGAGGGAGCTCCAAGGCAGTCCAGCACCAGCTAGCGGAGAAGGGCCTGCAGGGTTAGAGGCAGGTCTGAGTGGTGGGGAGGGTTCTTGGGCTGTGTGTGTGTGTGTCCTGGGGACAGGGGAGGGCTCCAAGGCTAGGGAGGATCCCAGTTCAGGCAGTTCCATCTTCTCCCTGCCAGAGCCTGCACTCCCCCTGCGTGGTGCACCTGGAGTGCATGTTCGAAGGTCCCGCCCGGCTCTTTGTGGTGATGGAGCGCCTGCGTGGCGACATGCTGGAAATGATCCTGTCCAGCGAGACTGGGCGGCTGCCCGAACCCCTTGCCAAGTTCCTCACTGCCCAGGTGGGTGTCCCAGCTTGCTGTCCCCGCCCCAACCCCCCGGAGTGGCCTCATTGCAGAGCGAGGAGGACCAAGGAAACTGTCCTGCCTGGGGCTCCCCACAGGTGTCCCCCACGGGCATGTTAATGATGCTGCACCATCCATGATCACAGCTTGCATACTACTCAGAGTCCTTGTGAAAATATACACACCCACATACACTGCTCCCCCACAGCACGCCACTCCCGTCCCCCCACATGCTGCTCTCCGTGCCACGCCAGTCACTCTCATGCACTGCTCCCCATCGCTGCTCATCCCCAGCGTGCCCACCGCTGTGGTCCTGTCACCATTGCATACCACACCCAGGCTCACCACTCAGCATGGTGGTATACTTGTGCACGTCAGCACTGCACATCATTGCACACTCCTCACCATCACTGTGCACATACACACACAATCCCCTCTCTGCTCCCCAATGCCTGGGTCACGGTTCACAAAGCACTCATCAGCGCATGTGAGCGTGCAACAGCCCCCATGCCACATCCAGTCTGTGCGTGAGCCCATCAGGTACTCCCCCCCACACACGGCAGGTAACCACCCCCTCCAGTAATGCTCCTCTGTGCTTGCAGATCCTGTCTGCCCTGCGCCACCTGCACACCAGGAACATCGTGCACTGTGACCTCAAGCCAGAGAACGTGCTGCTGGCCTCGGATGAGCCTTACCCCCAGGTGGGACAATCCCTGCACCACCTCCCAGCCCACCTCCCTGAAGCCCTGTTCCACCCCCTCAACCCTCTAGCCCCCTCTCCCTGAACACCCATCCTAGCTCTTGCACCCAACTCTCCCTTCCCCTTTCAGCCAAGACTGTATTACCAACCTCGGGCCAGACCAGAGCTGGCGTCGCCTAGAGGGGACAGGCCCCTACCCCGAGCCAGCCGGTCTCCTCAGAGTCAGGCCCTCCCAGCAGGGAAATGCCCCATATTCCCCACCCTCATGCTAACCCCTCACCTCTCAGGTGAAGCTCTGTGACTTTGGCTTTGCCCGCATCATTGAGGAGTCATCGTTCCGGCGCTCAGTGGTGGGGACCCCAGCGTACCTGGCCCCCGAAGTGCTGCGGCAACATGGCTACAACCGCGCCCTGGACATGTGGGCTGTGGGCGTCATCATCTATGTCAGCCTGAGCGGGACCTTCCCCTTCAACGAGGAGGAGGACGTCAACGATCAGATCCAGAACGCGGCCTTCATGTATCCCCGGCAGACCTGGGCCAGCATCTCCCTCGAGGGTGAGACACCCCTATGCCCCACCTCCACACTGCAGCCATCATGTACTCCCGGCAGATCTGGGCCAACATCTTCCTTGAATGTGAGACCCCCCCCGCACCACCCTGCACTCAATCACACTGCCCCCACCTCCAGACTGGCCTTCTTGTACCCCCGGCAGACCTGGGCCAGCATCTCCCTCGAGGGTGAGACCGCCTTGCACCCCCTCACACTGCCCCCTCACTTCCAGACTGGTCCTTTTGTATCCCCGGCAGACCTGGGTCAGCATCTCCCTCGAGGGCAAGACCCCCCCACTCCCCTGTGGCATGCCACTAGCAGCACACTGCCCCTGCACCTCCAGAACATGGCCTGTATGTACCTGTGGCAGCCCTAGGGCACCACCAGAAAATTTGGGTGTTGCAGGCCCTGGCAGCCAATGGCTGTGCTCCCTGGGGGGAGGAGTTGGGGAGAGGTCTTGGCCTATGTAACCCCCTCCTTCCCTCCCAGCTGTCAGCCTCATCCACCAGCTGCTGCAGGTGAAGCTGAGGAAGCGACTGAGTGTGAACAAGGCGCTGAACCACCCCTGGCTGCAGGTACCTTCCCTCCACCCCTCAATCCCTATCCACCCAACCCACATCCCTGCCTGCAGATACCTTCTGTCCCACAATCCACACCCCATAACACACCTCTTCCATCCCCTTGCACTGTCTAGCTCCACGTAACCTCCCTCCACCCTAGAACTCAACACCCTGCTCTCCCCTGCCCAGTTCACCCCAGTCTCCAGTCCCCGCTCCCAACAGTAAATGGCTAACTCAACCCCCTCCCTAGCTCTCCCCATCCCCTGAAGATTCCTTCCTCAGCACACGGTGCATCCCTGATAGGAGGAGCCTGGACTCCCCCCAGCACCTGTTGATGAGCTGTCTCCATCCCCCCCCAGGATTTCCAGACCTGGCTGGCCCTGCGGGAGCTGGAGACCCGTGTGGGGCAGCGCTACCTCACCCATCCAAGTGACGACGCCCGCTGGCAGCGCCTCGCCCGTGAGCAGGGGCTGGCCTGGCCATCAGGGCTCACCGTTCAGCCCAGCCTGGAGGAGGAAGGGGACAGTGACAATGCAGGCGAGGGGAGCTGAGCCCTCCAGCCCAGGACTCACTACTCATGGGAAATAGGGGGTGTGGGGACCCCTCAGCACCACATTGCCCCCATAAACTGATTTCTCCAAACTTGGTGCCATGTGGTCTGTGCAGGGTGCGTGCCCGTCTTGCTGGAGCCCATTCGCATGTGGGGGGTGTCACAGGCTCAGATTCCCCTGCACAAATGCTGCCCTAGTTCAGACCCCTCCAACATGAAATCCCCCACTCTGAACCCCAGGCCCACCATGGTGCGTGCCTCCCCTTCCCCATTGATCCCATCCACCTTAGTATCCCTAGTCCATTGCTCCTTGATCAACTGCCCTGCATATGAACAACACCTCCCAACCCCAGATACACGTGACTAGCAGAGAGTTCACAGCAGCTGCTCACAGTTTCACATTTATTTCAAAAGCACACAATTGGAGCCCCATCCCCCCAGGACGTAGTGCCCCCTTCAATGGGGCTGGGCCCTGCTGTCCTCGGGGAAAGGCAGGAGGTTGGTGTGGTGTGAATCTGTCCATTGCCCCCAATCTGGGGACTCTTCTCTAACTGTCCAGCGACCACCCTCCAGGATCCTTGAGCAGTGTGAAGCACCCTCATTCCCCCCCCATCACAGCTTCCTGTAAGCCCCCACGGTGAGGTCAAAAAGCTGTGGGTTGTAAACCTGGCCCTGCTTGTCCAGAAGGAAGTAAAAGGGCCGACCCTTAACCTTGAGGGGAATCATGGCAGGCACCTCAGAACGATGAGCCATGCAGGAGACCTGGCGCAGGGGCACAGTGAAAGACGAGCTCAGCCCGAAGGGATAGTAGGTGCTGAGGGTCACATCCCGTCCCCCCTGGCGCAGCACGACCTGCCACACTGAGCGGCGTGAATACACAAAGCCGGCAGCCACGATCAGTGAACCTGGGGTGGGGAGAAAGAGAGAAAATGAAATCCCCAGATGCCATCCACCATACCCAGACTGGGCTAGCAGGGGGCTGTGGGTTGGGAGGCACTAGCAAAACTGGGGCGGGGGAGGGAGCCCAAGGCTGGATACCCAGGGGCTTCAGATTAGAACTGAGGGACATCAGCAAGGCTCGGGGTGCAACCACCCCATCTCCCAGCACCAGGATTTAGCTCTGAGTTTCAGAAGCCTGATTCCACTCAGCTGCTCCAGGTGGCGGTAGCCCAGGCCCAGCTGTGGGGCAGAACCAGGCTCTGATCCCAGATCCCTCTTCCCCAGGGCAATGAACTGGACTCAGATCCAGGCAGCTCCTAGACACAGCTCCCTGTCACCGGCCACCCACCCTAGGGTGGGCTCCCTTCTCTGTGGAGAGAGAGTTCCGGGGGAGGGCGTAATCCCATTACCAGTGTCTTCGGTTCATGCTTCCCCAAGGCTTATCCCTCCCCCACTTCCCCAAGATGCAAGGACTGGAATCACCAGTTCCCCCTGCCTGAGTGCTGACATAGAGGGAGGGAGGGAGGGAGGGAGGGACTCCCCTGGCCCCCACCCCCCTCTCTCCCCGGGGCCTGCTCCCGGCTCGGGTGCCCCCCGCCGCCGCCGCCGCCGCCGCCGCCCGGGGGCCGCTCCCGGCTCTCACCTACGGTCAGACAGGACACGGTGAATCCGTAGCGCCACTTGTTGGAGGTCGGGTTGATCGAGGCCCCGCCGGGCAAGGTGGGCGCGAGCCGGGCGCTGGCCGCGGGCCGCCCTGCGGGCCGCAGCTCGCTGAAGGCGAAGTGCGCCAGGTACGCCCAGAACGTGAACTGCCCCGTGCAGAACAGCCCGAGCAAGCGGAAGAAGCGGGCCCGCTCGTGCCGGAACAGCAGCAGGTCCCGGGGCACGTGCGTGTCCAGGGGGGACAATCCGCGCGCCGGGCCCGCTAAACCCCGCGCACCGCTGAGCCGGGCCCAGGGGCCCCACACCCTCCACGTGCAGCAGTGCAGTCCCCACAGCCCCAGCTGCCCGGTCCCCGCCATCTCTACGCTGGAGCGCGGGGGCGTCTGGGACTTGTAGTGATCACGGCTTCTCCCACGTAGGAACCCAGTGCTTCTGTATAGGGGCAGGAGGCCCTGGCCCCTCCCCCTTACCCACCGCGCCTCCTGACACTGGGGGATCGCTGTGCTGGGGAAAAGCCATCCGCCACAATGGAATGTGGAGAGGGCTTTTGGGGGGGGGGGGGGGGGGGAGAGAGAGAGAGTGGGAG